CGTCGCAAATGTTTTATTTTAATAAATTAACAGAGAGGGTTCAGATGCAAACGTGTACTAATAATATTAAAGACTAATTTTATAACGTACAATGACCGATGACAATTTTAGATTCTGATTAATACATACAGGGTGACAATTTGAAAACTTACCACCCCCCATATCTTAGTAAATAAACGAGATATTTAAAAAAATCAAAATCCGTTTCGGTAATTCGGAGGGGGACTCACAATGACATAGTTGGCGACGCACCCCCTCACACCCCCTGCGCCCCAGCCACCCCAACTTTTAAATCTTAAATAGTGACCCCCCATGTGTGATACGTCGTTGGAAAGCTCTGAAAAAATGCTTTCCAACAATACCAAATAGCATTACATTTAGATTAGTAATTATCGTGCAAATCAAAAAATAAACATGGAAAATCGTATTTAACTTGAACTTCCAAAGCCGACTCGACAGCAACTCATTTTTGATCGCCAGTTATAATCTATTCTCAAACTCTTGTCGAACCTTTCCAATGTTGGTTTTGCAATATTTCGACATTCTTGAATTATTCTCCGTCTTAGTTCGTCTATGTTCGCCGGTTGCGTTTTAAATACGACAGATTTCAAATGTATCATATTAGTTTATTTTTTGATTTGCACGATAATTACTAACCTAAATGTAATGCTTTTTGGTATGGTTGGAAAGCATTTTTTCAGAGCTTTCCAACGACGTATCACACATGGGGGGTCACTATTTAAGATTTAAAAGTTGGGGTGGCTGGGGCGCAGGGGGTTGGAGGGGGTGCGTCGCCAACTATGTCATTGTGAATATTGTGATTCCCCCTCCGAATTACCGAAACGGATTTTGATTTTTTTAAATATCTCGTTTATTTACTAAGATATGGGGGGTGGTAAGTTTTCAAATTGTCACCCTGTATACTATTTATTCGCTGCCACACAACAGTAAAGCTACCCAAAAACTTGCATATGAGTAAAAATTCCGGTAGATTACATTTACATTTACTGTTTGCTTGTTCTTGGTAATTTCGATTTGTAGTTCATTCCACTAACTCTTCAATTTTGTCAAAATATTAGGCCATAGTATGACTGAGGTGGCTGCGGAAAAATGCAACTTTTCCGCCGGTGACAGTTTTACTTTTACTTTTCCCTCCATAGAGGGAAAATTGTCGTAATACGTTAAAATAATAACACACAACAATGAAAATCCGAATTTAAACGTCATTTTTATTTGTCAAACTATTAAACGTGCAATTTGTGAATATTGCCTTTTGAAAATTGAAACCATGCAGTACTGTAGTACGTGCAGACGGGTTTTGTAGTACACAAAATATTTGTATTTCGTTAATCGATTATGTGTAAATGGTCCATAAGCAACCCTCTAATTGCACTCTAAGGATAAAGCTCCTTTTCGTTTTAAAATTACGAATTATATTAAAAAATTCATACTAATATATACAGTAATCCTGGATTGTGGGGGTTGTAATTTTTGTAGTACACCAAATATTTGTATTTCGTTAATCGATTATGTGTAAATTGTCCTTAAAGAGCAGTCGAAGGGTTGCTTATGGATCATTTACACATAATCGATTAACAAAATACAAATATTTGGTGTACTACAAAAATTACAACCCCCACAAGTTTCTTTTCGTTTTAAAATTACGAATTATATTAAAAAATTCATACTTATATAATTAGCAATCCTCGATTGTGGGGGTTGTAATTTTTGTAGTACCCCAAATATTTGTATTTCGTTAATCGATTATGTGTAAATGATCCATAAGCAACCCTCTAATGGCGCTCTAAGGACAAAGTTCCTTTTCGTTTAAAAATTACGAATTATATTAAAAAATTCATACTTATATAATTAGTAATCCTCGATTGTGGGGGTTGTAATTTTTGTAGTACACCAAATATTTGTATTTCGTTAATCGATTATGTGTAAATGATCCATAAGCAGCCCTCTAATTGCACTCTAAGGATAAAGTTCCTTTTCGTTGTAAAATTACGAATTATATTAAAAAAATTCATACCCATATTTATATAATATATAGCTGTAGTAAGCGAGGAGAACTTCCATTTTCAAATGCAATATCTATAACACTAGTGGTGGTAGGAAATTTAATGATTACGGAGATAATTGCAAAAAACCATAAAAAGTCACCTTTCTCTTTGTTTAAACAAATGTTCCGGTCGTAGTTAGAGGATTATTTTTCTACCACATATTATTTACATCCAATAAAACAAAAATTAGCTTATTCATGGTTATTTCTACAACTAGAGAAGAAAGTGGAGTTCTTCAACTCGAGTTCAAAGTTTAACCCATGAGCGTTGCGAGTGTGTCAATTGAACGAGAATTGAAAAACACTTTCTTCTCAAGTTTTACACATATTTTTTTCTGAAACTACAATTAAAATTCGAAAATTGTCGTATGCAATAATGAAGTTTTACACAGAGACGGGTATGTTTCAATTTTAAATGTCATTATTAAGATTAACGCAGCAATTGTTTTTTTACTTTCCTCACTAGAGAGGAAAATCACTTTTTCTTCGCCCTTTTTGGAGACTAAAGTAGTTATTTGTAAAGTAGTTTCAGGAAAAAACGTTTTCCTTATTGACCTGCTTTTGGGTCTCAAAATACTACTTATAAATACAATGAAAAACTAAAATTTAGTGCGAAAGTTGTGCTTCTTTATTTTTCAATAATTTCTTGAAACGTGCTTCTATTTTCTACGGCTACGCAATCCATCAAATCACTTACTAAGTGGAGCCTTTTTCTTTTCTTAGTCTTTATGTTCAACATTGAGAAGAATGTTAGTTCGCATGTAGGAAGTCGCGAATGGAACTAATAATTCTAAAGGTTCCTTTGCCCACTCTGGATATTCCTGGTTTTTCTTCATTCAGAGGACGTCATTTGGTTCCTTCAGATCTAAACAGTTCTGAAAAATAACTTGCTAGTGTAGCTTTGCAAATTGTGCGAGCTCTGAATCTTGCAAGGAATGTGAGAGCTTTCTACTAACGATTGGTCCGTTGCAGTTTCTTCGACAATCTTCTGAACACAAGGAAAAGATTCGAATATATTTTTTTCAAAGTGACCATAAACTCAGAAGGTAAAATTGTTCTCACTTTCCTTTGTTGCAGGAATCTCACGATTTTTTTAACACAGTTAAAATTGAGTATAGGTGTCTACTTCAGTTTCGGCCGATATAGGGCCCAAACCAATGAAATTTAAATACGTAGTCTTTAAGTGAAGTAATTGACATAATTAATTTAAGGCGCCAGGGGGTCGCCAGAATTGTTCAACTTACAAAGGGGTAGTGTGTTCAAAAAGGTTGAAAAACATTGGGCTATATCATTAATGATTGTATAAACCCACCACTAATAGTTATTTGTACAACTAGTTTTTAAAGTGGTACCTTTTTTCATGAATTTGCAGTTTGATTAATGAGGGCGTTACATTTTGGTAATATTTGCAGATTAAACAATTTTATGCGTTCGAAATCTACAAAGTGTAGAAATAAGGTGGTCTTTTATAATTGCACGGGGCCTGTCAGTAAAATATTATTCAAACTTACACCCTTTGTAACCGTACCCTCGAATTTTAGACCATCTAAGGTTTGCTGAGACACAGCACGCGTGATAAATCATATTATCTATGTACGTTGCTCTTGTAAGTTATAGTTTTACAGTATTTGCATATGATCTACCTAAATATTCTTTCATAAAATGAAAATAAGACTTGTAGAGCATTATTAGATTTCAATTGCATTTATAAGTTTAAGAAACGTTTGGGAGCGATATTGTCAAGATGTCTAATTCTTCTTCTTCAAATACTTTGAAGTACAACATTGAACGTACCAGAAATTTTCTTACGTTGAGAAATGGTTTTTAAATGATTTTCACAAGCTCGTTCTTCGATAAAGAAAACTGAATTTTTTCTGATTATTTTTTCTTGCTCGCAGAATTTAGTTACCTACCTGTAATTCTAAATTATCCAGAGACAAATTACAAGAATAACGTTCGATGTTCAAAAACATGTATTTTACTGCAAGGCGTAATATAGAAGCAAGTAAATACTCGTAGTTAAATACTGACGTCTTCTAGTCAAATAGAAAAAAGTACGACAGAATCTTTTCAATATCCGAGCAGGAAAAACCAAATCTTATCTCCTCAGGGAAAAATGTTATCTGAGTAATTCACTAACAATAATTATTTACATAAATGTCAGAAAAATGACACTACTGGCCAGGAAATATTGAAGTACGAGCACTTTAATTTCCGAGTTGAAAGTAGTAGTGTCCTTTTATTGACGCGTTTTGCATTAAATTTTATCCGAAAACGTATTTTAATATGAAATTTAAAGTTTTACATAGAACTTTTACCCAAAATCGTCCTGAAACCTTCATTTTCATGTCTACTTTCTGTCAGGAAATTTTAGTTTCCGTGACAGAGGCAGAGCAGGCTACGTTTCCTGCCGATTGTCACTTTACCGGTCGCACCGTCACTCTACCGGCCGCATTTGTGACATTTCCAAATGCCTATAATGTCCTGTCATCACTGACAGATTGACGTTAATCAAAAGTTCTCTATAAAAATCGAAATTTGATATTAAAATACGATTTCTGGTAAAATTTAATACAAAACTCGTCAGTAAAATGACATTACCTGACTCGGCAATTAAAGTACTCGGCCTTCCACTTCAATCGCCAGTAATGTATCATTTTTCTGACTTCTCTGCAAATAACTATTGATTAATATCAATCTGTCAGTGATGACAGAGTTGTCATTACTCATTATAGGCATTGCCAATGTGACAGGTGCAGCCGGTAAAGTGGCAGGTGACAGGAAAGGTAGACTGGTAAAAAACTAAAATTTTCTGACATAAGGTAGGCATGAAAATTAAAGTATTCTTGAATATTAGTGTATTCCTTTTTATTCTGTGGCTGTAGGTAACACCTAAGATCAGTAACTATGTGGTACAATAAATAAGAAACAAAAATTAGTTGTTTAACAGAGTTTATTCCTTGATTCTCAGATTTATTGCTATTAAAATACAAAAAAAAACTGCCTTTGAACAATTCGTAAACCAAAACGTTAAACGACATAGATGTGTCATACATCTATGCTTAATTTATACAGATTTCACCCACAATTACAACTTAAGGCACCTCATAAATGGCGGACAATCACAATAACACGCAAACTGTAGAGTATTGTAAGATACTGCTATGCCATCCCATTTCTTGTACTTATAGCTACCTACTCTGCAGTATCGGCCTATGCAAGGAAAAGATTTTAAACGCTACTGTATGGGTACGTTGGCACTACTTACGAGTCGCATTATCGTGGCATGGAGGAGCAAAAACCTCTGAAAAAAGAGTTGAGGTCAGTGTTATACCATATTCCAGTTCATATACCTACTTGGAATAAACATCAAAGGACATGCATCCTTTTCGTGCACGTATACAGGTATACCATAGTCGCGCAGCAATTCCTGTTGAAACCGCATATTATCAGCGCAAGGGTTTGAACCGGAACTAAAGTCAACTGAAATAGGGCACTAGATGTTTTGATTTTTGCGAAGATGATCCTACTCACTCTCATCCGGAGGAGGGCAGTCTACTGGTTCAATGTTAATGCTAAAAAACAGTGGTCAAACTACACCAAAAACTACTTGCACGATCTACCTACCAACCATTCGCAACGACGCAACGATGCAAGCAAGATTTGGTTTCCAAGGTAACTTTGTGAGTGTATTCAATCGGGAAGGTTTCTCCATCTTTGTGATACTTCCCATTGAAGTAGCATGTGTCGGGCGGCCAGTTGTCTATATATGAGCAATTGTACGCCCTTGCACACGATCCCTTATTGCAATTTGGCGTTGCGACGCACGGTATCGTGTCGTAAAGTGGCTGAAGAAAGTTGCAGTCGTTGCGGCAAATACCTGCAAAAACTTTAGAAGCTGGTTAAAATAGCTACTTCGCTCACCTAGCGCAACTGGTAAAAGAGTAAGCAAACTCAGGAGACGTGCTTTACGAAACATGACGCATAAAGAACGTTTCCACATATAAAGAGGCGACTTCTAGAAATTAATTTACGTGCAAATGTGTGCTTTATGATAAGATCGTCGTAGCTTAAATACACAGATCAGGTTCAGTTTATGCAGAATGAGCTTTATGGCTACAATGTCAAAAAGTCTGATTTCTCAACTTACGTTCTCTACAATCTGTTTGTTTTTATTTCACATCGCGTTATTGTTTTATAACTTTTAATTAATCCATTGCTAATTTCTGAGACCTTAGGTGAAAGGTTCATGGTAAAAATCAATGGCAAGGGTAGCGAGTGTATCGGTATTCGATGACAAATTCTCTTATTGCCGTGAAGATTTAACTTACCATGTAAATATGGTCCCATAAATAATATAGGACACCGTTCTTGTTTTTGTGAGAAACTTGTTGTTTCAGGATAAATATCAATAAAGTGGCCTTCAAAATGTGAGAAAGGTATGCTATCTTTGTTTCCATGAAGAGTAATTAAAATAAACAGGTTAATACGTTAATTAATAAATAAAAATTTGGGGCCACCCCTAAAAGTGGAAGCATCCCCATTCTGCGGCTTACATGAAAACTAGAGACGACGCGGATGCAGTCATCGTTAGCATTGCATGTTGATGAATATTGCCAAGACTTTTCCAGATGAATCGTTAAACCGACGCAACTCAGTGATTTAATTAGAATTTAGGCAGCGCTAATTTTAAATTTGGGAATTCCATGTCTTACCCGTCTAGTGTCGGGAAAGAATAACGATACTGCAGGGGCACTGCATGTCGTAAGAGTCGACTAATCAACGGTGATGATAAACATTCTTCTATTTATTGCTTTAAAGAGGGATTTTGCTTTTTGGTCAGATATCATTTTACTTTTTTCGCGGATTTGTGAACGTGAGAGAGGGGATAGTTAAACTTTACCAACTTTCATCTTTAAAATGCTTGCAGTTTCCAGGATATTTGTGCGATAGGTATTCCCTCACGATTAGGGGGTTGTGCGTAGGTGCCCGTTCCCTAACTTCACCATTCGTATGTTCTATGGTCTCCTAGACCCCAATAGTGGACATCCTTATGTCGGACACAGTTTATACGCAACTCCTCAATGCCTTCTAAAAATAAAGTACCTTTTGGGATTAAAATTACGTAATTTTTGAGAAAATTAGCACACATTGTAGGATTATAGCGATCCTCGGTGGCGGGGGTTGCAACTTTTTTGGTACAGCAAATATTTTTGTTTCTTTGTTAAATGCCTTCTATAAACAAATGTTCAAGTGACCCTTGCCAGCTAATTGCTTTTGGTTGCCACAGTATCGCACGAATCAGTTCCGTGTTAGCGTACACACTTTGTCTATGTTTAAAGTCCGATTTCTTGTGATATTTATTATTGTATCGCCCTAATCACTAAATACTCTTCGTATATTTTTATATTTTAACGTAATTTAGTTACGTGATTTTTGTACAATTGATTATTAATGAATTTATAAGTCCCTAAATGGATAGATTTATAAAAGTTTATTATTTACATTTGTACACAATTAATACGGGCAAATTTATCACATACGCGCGGGAACTTCAGCATCACTTCGGGATCGATGTTAGAACTTTTGCTTATATAGCAAACGAAAAGTTTCTGTAAAGATCACGGGTATTCTCGAAGTTAACATACTTCATTTCTCAGTAAAAACGCGTCATATCCGGTTTCGTTCCTTATCGCCGGCGACTAATATTTTATAGCACCTCCATGACGGCTGCCGGCGCCCCAATGTCTGGGATAATCGCTATAATATAAATATATTACAATTTTTAGGTTTTTTACTTAGATATGAAAACAAACGTGTCAAGTGTGTGTGTTTTAAATCAAAATGTTATGGGTCGTACATTACGCACGCCTGTTTTTAAGGTTGCATAACGATAGCGTACGTCGATATACAAGCTCTTTAGTAAATTGAAGGGCTCATTAGAGAAGCGGCTGAGAGGGACGAAGCCGCTCAGCTGTTGAGGCGGGCAAGCCCTTAACGCGGCCGGAGATGAGTCTAAGGAGTAAAAAGAGGAAAGAATGAAAAGTGGCTCGAAGTGTTTAGAAGAAACAAGAAAGAAAATGAGAGAAAGTGAAAACTAAAGACTAACTTATCCATAAAGGAAGTAGTGATGGAAACAGGAACAGACAGACAGAGAACGAAGAAATGGGTAAAAGAAAATCTATACAAGTAAAGGCGAATATAAAAGAGGCAAGAAATTTTGAAGTAAGGTGAAAAAGGTAGTAATCGCGAAACCAAGATGAGAAAAAAGGGAAATTATAAGGGGAAAGAGCTTGAAGTTAAAGGAGAACGGGATGTACATAGATGACGAATTGACATATGAAGAAAGAAGGGTACAAAGAGAAACAAGAGAAGATGCGGAAAGGGCAAGAAAGGGAATATAGGAAACTAATAATAGAAGGTTCAGAATACAGATGGAGTACCAAAGACAAACGATTATCGAGAACAAAGAGGGAAAGAACGGAAGAGGAAAAAGTGAGATTTGAAGGGAGAAACGAACAACAAAAGAAGAGCGGGAGTAGCTGGTAAAGACGCTCAAGTCTGTAAGGATATGATGTCGTGGGGATGGTCGAGTAATGAATAGAAGAAAAGAATTGGGAAATTATAAAGAACAGGATTCCGACTGAATATAGATGAAAAATCGAAGGGGATGGAAGTAAAAAGGAGATAGAATGGAAATGGAAGGGGAAGAATAGAGGATCTAAAAGAAATTAAACGTGTAGGGTACCAAATGCAAAGATTTTAATTTATTTTAAGTTTCATTGTAAAATGCTTTGCAGGCTGGCGTCTAATGAAAATTGATTGATGTTAAAATTTCTTCGAAAATGTCGTTTCTCGGTCGATCTCAATTATTTAAGTTTTTGGTGTTCTTTCGAGTTCACAATTTTGCGGTGTCTGTCCGTCTGTCCGGTAGCACGATCTCTCGAAAACGAATGGAGACCGATTACGATGAAGGTGGATTCTTTATCAAATCTTTAGATCGAAGTTCGTGAATTTAATTGGCAGCGTAGGACAAAAAATAAGGAAGGCCCTTTTAGTTATGTACCGAATTCCACCTATGTAATACGAAATGCTAAACTAGCTGTACCTATGAGCTCGTTTGCTTTATTTGTATTGATTTGATCATAGCTTTTTCTTCGGTATAGTTTTTTACATGTTAAAATATATTAGAATATGCATTTTACATTTTGTAAAATTGAATTGACTTGAAACCCTTAGATACACTTACATTTTTGTGTACAGAGCACAAATAACTTATTAAAATCGACACCAAAACACCGTATCTTGCAGTTACTGTAGTAAAACTATAAAAAAGCAAGGGATGAATTTGGCAGAGAAGATCGATACCACAAAAGTTGCAAATGTAATTACATGAAAGCTTGACAATAGTTAGCTTTGGCGCCTTCGACATTAAATGTTTTATACATGAGATGAAAAACACTCGGAGAAACCTGTAAAAATAAATAAAGCCCTAGAACGTATAGGTATACGGCGCTAGGAAAGCTCGCCAAAAATTCGCAATTTTTAGTAGTGCGGTTTATTCAAATTTAGCACAGTCAACATTATCACTTCGTAGATCTACCTACGTTGTTTGTTTTCTTTTAAATCTTGTGAAAGGTAGCTGATACAATAATAGAAAACTACAAAAGCGGAGGAAACCGCTTCTGAATAATGCATCGCGTCGGTTAGGTTGACTATGTCTGAAAAAGAAATGTGAATTGTTTGCTTTACTGATGACGGATACCTGATTTCTGAATTACTTGTATTTGATATGGCCACAATGGCGTATAAAATGAATCAAATCTATTTCGTTCAGCTATTGAATGAACGTAACGTAATATCAATCAAACTTATTGTTTCTCTCTATTAAATTTCATTGTAAAATCAGAAACTGCGTTAAAATCTTAACGATGATAAATGTTTTATTGTAAATTACCTAGAGTGTAGGACTCTTTAGCTTACTAAAATGGGATTCCTAAATGATCTTGGCCATTATTAAATTGGATTATTTCGTTAAAACTAGCCAAAGAAAGGACGACCACGAGCCTGCATTTAAATATGTTTCCTTGGGGTTTTCACACTCAGTTCGGTCCTCCTAAAATTTCTTTGGGTTGTTGTATCTTGACTTTTTCCGCGGCTACCTTATCCAATTAAAGCAAATTTACACAGGCAGTGTATATAGAACGTAATTCCGAAATAAGTAAGATTAATAGCCTTTTTCGCTAAAAATATAAATGGCGATAAAAATGCAAATTTTATAGTTCATTTCTTGTGGGTCGGTAATTGGTAGGTGGTTATTAAATTTATTCCGCTTGCAGCTAACTATAAATACAAAACGTTATGTGTTGCGACCGTCCAGTACTAATTATAGTATTTGTTTTATCACACTCCCCTTTCGTATGTAGTTTGTTGTTGTACACGTACGTGTTACGTTTTATCATAAAGTGTCGAAAAGATTACATTTAAATATACATCACGCTTATCAAGGAGTCATAAAATGATCATTAGGCGTATAATATTTGGTAAAATATAAAGTAAGCTTGACCATAAATATTCGTGTAATAACGTTAATGGGGGTGTACATGCGATGCGTTTGCTTTAATTAAATTATTTCGGGTTTCAAGTGTATATGCTTTTAACATTAACCCCGATCAGAGCAAACAACGGGACGCTTTTATAAACAGCCACGTCTGTATATAGTGTAACTACTCGTAAAGGAATCTAGCATAGGGTTGCAGAATGTAGCAATTACAGAAGTGCGTAAATTTAAATTTAGGGCTTTATTACCAAAGAACTTTTACACAGTGTAAGATGGCTTTTAAATCATGCCTCCTTCTATCTGAAGCAGACTTGTTAAATTATGTAATAAACGTCAGTTTTCCTTAAATTATACACGTTGTAATTATTAATCCTTAGGGATCGGGAATGGTTTTAGTGCAGTTGGTTCTAAAACTCATGTCGGGATGTTATTACGAAGGACCGGGATAACTTCCAT